AAGATTTGAATCAATGTGACGCTTTTTTTGTAAGTTTCCGATGGAATTGTATGCTTAAAAATTTGTAAAGAATAATTATTAAAAAAGGGAGGAAATATTTTAAACATTTAAATATTTCATAATAATTCACACTTTTTTGCAGCTGAGATGTAAAAACACCCTAGATTGATTATTCCTGGATTAAATAAATTTTCATGTCAATACTGTCGAGATCTTGCGTAACGTCATATTCTTGTATTCTTGCATCGTCGCGCGAGCATGTCTCCCTTTTTAAGACGTATATTTTTCAAAATGTTACCGCAATATTCTCAACATCAGACGATATCCACGGAATACATCGAGGGATATCCTCGGAGCATCTTTGTTTTCAGAGAATATCCGCCCAGTAATCTCGTTCTCGACGAATCATCCCCGGGGATATTTTCATGGTACACAAGAAAGCATACGTCTAGTTACGTTTGCAGCGCTGCAAAATCGATTCCGGCTCATAGCCGGATGCGCAATATGTTTCGATCGCGTCGAGCGTGATGCGCGGGATATAACGCGGACTGTCGACGTCTTCTAGAAGAAGACGGACTTCGAACAGCCTCGTTAAACTCGGTGCCCGCGATCGGAAGCGTGCGACTCGTTCTTTTTTTTACGCGTCCCATAAAACGCACGGAGAAGACGCGCGGAGTCGTCAGCGTGGCTGGCTCCTGTTCTGATGGGAGACAGGAGAGAAAACCACACGGAGGCGGCATGTTATCGGCTTCTCGGCACGAGATAACCGCAAACGATTTCCTCGTAGCGATCGGTGTCTATCGTTCCACGAACGTTCCCCGCGCCTCGCATCCCTGCTGTATTTCCACCGACAGCGCAAACCACCGCGGTTCCCGCGGCCTCCTTTAATCACCCCGTTCGTCTTTCTCGGCGGTAAACGACGCCAGATGCTCGAACGTTATCTTCCACACTGCGTCCGAAGAGCTTTCCACGCGATGATGACGCGTCGCCTTCAAGACAAAAAATATATAATGTCCGCGCAGAATGTACTTCATATCTTCAATTATATTTGCACGTTTCAAGAAAAGTACATGGAAAGAATGATTTTACTAAAGTATCTAAAAATTTTGCTAGATACATGTCTGAAAATAATTTTAATGGGCCGTCAAAATAAATGTAGGAAATTCAAGCATAATGCAAATTTATAATGTTAAATTATATATATGTGTGTGTGTGTGTGTGTGTGTGTGTGTGTGTGTATTAAATTTGAGTTATTTTTAATTATTTATATAGGTCGTACTGCTTCTACTTAATATGTTGTTATTTTAATTAAAATAATGGAGTTATACAATGCAATTCAAGAAATGTACTAAATTTGACTAAAATTTGATTTATTATTTACTAAGTACTTATGTTAAAAAATATTGATGTTGCTCACTCTGAAACTAACCTCAGAAATAGATTTATATTTTGACGTACATGGACGGTAAAAATAAAATTTTATGTAACTCAAGGGATTAGGTTATTATTTCTTCTTTGATATCTAATAATATGAGCGATGCAAAAAGTTCTGATTATTCTTCTAGATCTTATTTTAGTAACTAACTTGAGCGTTTTAATTATTTTGATAATCTTTATCTTGAACACTTTTTTTGTTGTATATCTAGCTAAATTTTTAGTACCTCAATAATCGTTCTTTCCGTGTAGACAAAAAAAATCTTGGTTAGAAGAAGCGATATGTCATCGTCGTAATAATAGAAAAATTGATGCGCATATTGAGAAAGATATTTCTCGCGCTATTAAGATTTGTATTCGTGGAACACTATGTATTATGACTAAATGCGTAAAATTCCAAATACATATATTTTTTAATTGATTCACATGCAAATTTAAAGGATGAGAATTTCAATAAAAAAAAAGTTAAAGTAATTCTAATATCAAGAATGTAAAATAAACCAAAAGATATGAATAAACGACTTCTTGTTTATCGGTCAAGTCGGAGTAGACTTCAATTTAAGAGTATCAATTACCAAGATTATCGTATTAAGATTAAAAATTGATGGGCTATAAACGGTTGTATCTTATCATGAAAGATCTATTTTCGTGATTTGCTTTAAACCATTTAGGGGATAAATTATTCGTTCTAGCGGCTGAATATACAAATTAAAATCATGTATCGGAATAAATCAGGGAATGAATCCCACACGACAGCGGTCTTCCGACATAGTCTGGATTCCGTGATCATCGATCGATCGGGTATCAGATAATCTTCGAGAAGAATATTTTAATGGAAAGGTTCCCACGTAGAAAAGAAAAAAAATGAATGAGTCAGAGAGAGAAATCTCTTTTGTTGATATTTAGGATGCACAAAGAGTAGGAAACGTTCGGAAACCTAACTCTCGTCTTTCATTGCATGCAATATCAAATACTCAAATCTATCATTTTTCTGTTCAGAAACTACCTAGTGTGAAACGTCGAATGGAAGTGCAGCTGTGGTTAAATTTTTTGTCCTTTTTTTTATTTATTCGCATCTTATTCCATTTCTTTTGGAAGGTCTCTCTGTTATTTACGTGAGACTTTCGGTGCACGGATTCCAGACGAATGATTCAATGCCCGCTCCGGAAATACGTGTGATGCGTATCGCGGAGTGATTAATACGATGAAAAGACGATCCAGCGTTCTTTGCTTGCTCATCTGACGTAAGCTTGAAACAATTCTTTTTCAGAAATTAAAAACAGAGCAGAACCAACGGAGACACGTGTCATATTACGTAATATCGGAATTATTCGCGTGAAATATCACGTATGTTGGCAAGATTCTAGATCGAGTGTTAATACTTAGACGTCTCATTATGCAGAATAATTTTTATAATTTATGCGTGATTGAAATGACTGCGGTCACTTAGAAAGATTATCGCTGCTTCAGAAGAATACACGTGGAACAGGCAGATTTATGTCTTACAAAGCTCTTACGCATAATTCACAAAAGACATAAATTCGCACCTGACGTCTGTGGAATAAACTTGCGTTTCAAATAATTATAAAGATCTTAGAAAAACACGCTCTTAAACCACTCACTCGAGTTCACGACCACGTGTTCTAACGTAATAAAAAGAACTGTGGGCTGCACCAATGTTATTTTGACTTTAAGCGAAGTTCTCTCTCTTTCTCTTTTTCCCTTTAAAGTTTTGTGAGAAAGAGAGAAGAGAGAGAGAGGATTTGAAATGTTGGTACAATCGAATCTAAATCCTTCACAACGATATTCCGCAATAAGTTTAACCTTAGATCATTATCGTACATGAATGCAAATGAGCGAGATTATTGAGGATTTAAGCTAGGCTTGTAGTGATCAGCAGTGGTTAGTATTATAACAAAGAGCATGATAAATAATTTTAATTTTTAAGCAGTTTTGTGCCATTACATATTTTATTAGTAAATATGCGTTGTATGCATGGTACAATTATTAGTACAATCATGCGAAATATTAGTGCAATCGGATTTATATATGAATACTATTACAGATAATTTTGTTTTGCGATTCAGATATCTAATTTTCTCATTATAGGTGTAATATAGTAATGAATAATATATCATTTCACGAATTGAATTTTATAGTGAGATTATTCTTTCATGTCTTTTAATTAGTTAATAATTTAATAGTGAATAATTATATTTATGTTATAAATGTGATTTTAAAGGTGATTTATAATTATAAAGTGATCTACATTATAAATATTATTTGTTAAAATATTTTGTTAAAAATATTTTGTTAAAAAAATTTCTTTATCTTTGTTTGAATTTCAATTTTTACTAAATAAAGGTTTTAACATTTAAGTTAAAAATCTATTTTATGATGTAATAGAATTGAAAAGTAACTCGGCATAAATTCTTTTTGTTTTTCTTTTGTTTTTACCGTCCTGCCAAGTTTTAAAACCGAGAACGGTAAAAAGAACTTGAACAAAAAGACCCAGATTACAGACGTTGGGTGTAAAATGTAATTGCAGACGGAGGATTAAGAGTGGCCTATTTCGTCGAACATAAATTATACGTACAATAACAGTATCTGCATCATGTATACTCAAACTCAATACCATTCCGGAATTAATCGTGTATCAAATATCAGCGTTACTTTCAATTGTAACAAATATAAAAGTACCAACTCTGTTTTGTTGCAATCAATCCTAGAAACTACTCTACGCAAAAGCTGTCCGGCTTTAAAGGGTGAACATCCTCTCGGCGCGCAATGCGCGTGTTCTCACGATCGCGTTACGTTCCGCGTTGGGATGAAAGATTTATGTCAGTCCCGCGAGGGAGCAGCTTTCGCCTCTCGCACGTACGGCGTAAAGAGAACGCAGCACGGACGAGAGCGTTCTCCGTTTTCGTGCTGGCGCGGCGAGGCAGGAGCGCAAGGTGGAGATGGGTTTTACGCGAGGCTCGGGGCCGCCACTCGCTCCCGGCGGCGATTCGAGTTTATCACACTCACCTTGACTCCGAGGACGGTGTGGATGGCCTCTTCGACGCGCGCAAAGTTTCCCTTACCAAGGGAGCCCAGCATCTGATACTTGCCTACGTGGATCAAGGTCTTCTTCGTGGGCCCAATAACACCACCGCCGTTGCTGCCCTCGCCGCCGCCGCCGCCGCCAGCGCCGCCGCCACCGCCGCCACCGCCACCTCTTCTGCCGTTCTCCGTCGCGTTTGTACGCGTCATGCTACGCATGTAACGACGCGCCGCGCGTCGCAATCGTCGAAAATTCTACCACCTCGTTAAGGCACCCACGGATTTCGCGTGTGCGCAAACGCGATACACAACGCGACTTTATTGCCGCGAAAACCGGGTCCTCGCGAAACGATGCGAAAGGATGCGGACGATACGCGGCTCGCGTGACCCGAACATTTTCACAGCTCGATTGCGAGATCTCGATTGCTGCGAGAAAAATCGAAGTCGTCTTTTTCCTTTTTATCGATCTTTGCCGTCAATCGATCTTGTCGTATAATTATTATTTTTTTTTTCAGTTAGATGAATAGAAATTTCATGAAGACAAAGCCAAATAAAAATTGTAGACTTTTCTTATGACAAGTAAGTAACTAAAAATTAAAAATGTTTTGATAACCGGAAGGAAAAACCTCGTAAAATATAATGAAAAAAGTAGCTGTATAGTCATATAAAAATTTAAAAGTTTAAAATTAAATCATATAAATAAGAAAACGACCATCAATCGAGGTTAGATTTTAGTATCTAATATTTTTTATATATAAATTCTAAATACATCTTTGAGTTATGTAAACTGCACGCCGCTTATAATTGTCAGACTTGAAACGCAATTATAAACCGAACCTGAAATAATAATACATATCGCAACTAAATTAATCATCAATTTGATAATGATGCTAACATAAAATATTATAATTTATTGTGAAAAAAAAATAAAATATCTATTTTTTTGCAAAAGTTTCTATCATGAAATAACTAATGATACAACAAAATTAATCGATACTTATGCTTTTGATGTTAACGTGCGATTTAAATTCTGTCCTCATTAGCGAACTCGAATCGACAAACACTTTGCATTTACATGCGCCATAAACATATTCGAATATCGGAGCGGAAGCGTTGTCCCACTAATATTTGTACTTTCATCAGTTACAATTTGCGTGGAGCAATTAATTGCGTACATTTCAATGCGATAATATTCCCACATAATATGAGCGGCAGCAATAAAACCTTGTATCATCTCGAAATAATTATGAGCTTGGCATAAGTCACGCACTTAATTTTACCACTCAGTTGCCTCCATTCAGATCAATGCTATTTATTTTAGCATTGAATTTCAAAGGTCCAGCTATTTAATAGCAAATTCGATTGGCGACGCACTATTGGGTATTGGTGTATATTAAATCCGGTATACTGATTTAATCTGAATGGAAAAGTGAAATGCAAATATTTTGAATTACAAGATACATATTTTACTGAAAAGCACAAAAAATGAGGATTTCACGGTGTAACTCATTTTTATATATGGAAAGGAAGATTTTACTGAAATATCTATAATAATTCAGCTAGATGCAAATCTGAAAATAATTTTATTATGCCATCAAAATAATCATATAAGATGATTAAATTGAAATGCTAAAATGTCAAGGCTTTTTGTAGCAGCTCATCATGCTTGATTTTATATGTAATTATTTTGATTCAATATAACTATTTTCAAATCTATCTGAATACTTCAACAAAATCATTTTTTCGGTGCATAGAAAAAATATTTTATTTTATATTAGTACTATAATATGTGAAAAATCAGTGCCTTTACATTTGCAGAATATAACAGAGTCTGTAACAAGTGATTTTATCAAAACGAGAGAGAAAGGTGCACATTATCTTTTTTCTATATAAACTGAGAAATAGTCAAAGAAAACAAATGTCACATTTTCTTCAATATTTATCACTTATGACAAAGTTTGACTGTGACACAACTAAATATATGTATATTTCTGTGAAACATCTATTAATTATAAAAAATAAAATAGATAGTTTATTTCTTAGAAATACCTAAAATTTTATTTTGCCGTATTTAAATAAGCACTTATTTTAAAATGAAATAAATATTATATCTTACAAATAAATTTTGTAAAAGTATCTATTTCTCAGTGTAGGTATACATCATTCTAATGTATACTGTTTTACTCTAGAATCTTAATTAAAATTATAGAAAAATTTGTTGTGGCCAGATTCTGTTGTAGAGGCTGTGGTTTTAATCGAATTCACTATAATTCAGTTTATTTAATCTTTTTTCTTTTTTCTTATTTTAAGATGATTCTGATGACGCATTGGACATGCAGTTTACATATTTCCGGCGCGGTACGCTCTGCATATAGATGATTTTGCGACGAAGATATGATAATTACGCAAAATCGAAATCGCGCGTCGCGGTCGCGTATCGCCGGGAGACGTTAATTGCACATGCTAGTGCAGCGAGGTCAGCAGGAAGTCGCTATCTAAGGCAGGACTCGGATATCTCCCGCGCTCTTTATGACAAACAGCTGTTCTGGCTGAGTCAGAGCTACGGCCTTGGTAGAACCGTACTAGAAGATTAGCCGTGAGTTCCGCCATTAGTACATACTATAAAACGTACCTACCAAGTACGGCGCAAGAAATTCCAAATATCTTGAAATTCGCCGCATTTTCCCACAACTCCCACTTCCTCAACTTGACTTTCCCGTTCATGACGTCGCGGTCTGTTTACGCGACGTTTAATCGCCTTAATCATCGCGAGCCAAGCGTATTCGACATCCGCTCGCAAGATTTTGCAATCGGACGCACTAATTGATAAAATTAATTGCGTGATATTATAGCAGTAGGCGAAATCCGATAATAGAGAAAGACGAAAAGACAGAAAGGGGGAAAAAGAATTAAGAGAAAAAAAGAATTAATAAAATGTATCGTTTTAGATTTATAGATTTAAATATATCAATTACTTCTTTTTATATATATTTTTTACACGAAAAAATGGAACAAATTTTGAATAACAAAATTTTAATAAAATCGAATGCGCAGGTGAAAAAATTTATTGCAAAGATACAAAATATAAGTAAAGTGTAATAAAATAGACAAAAATATAAACGCCTGTAAATTGCATGCGTTCCTATTGAATATCTTATAATTAATAATAGATGGTTATTGATATTATTTCATATATAGCAGACTAAATAAGAATAAGCTGGCTATATAATAAATTATTACAGAATTTGAAGGAGAGAGCGAGATAAATAAAAAAACCTACGCGAAATAATTTCAATCGTTATTTGATCGACATTTATGTGACTTGCGACGCTGCAACGCGATCCGAGTCTGGCCCGCCCGCATATTCGCTGTGTCACACGACCATGGCTGACCCACTCACCCGTCTTGGAAAGAGATCGATAATGCATGAATTGAGATATGTTTTGACAGGTCGCGATAATTTTGATGCCGGCCGGACAATAGCTAGGTTTGTGTTCCCGACGACGCCACGGTATCGCGAATATTAAACTATTATATTTAAGAGCGCGGAGTGTTATCGATTTAAAAATAATTTATTTTTATCTTGGCAACTTCTTAATAAATATCAATTATAGAACAACATATATATTGGTCATAAAATGTGATAGAGCTTATTTCTCTCTCGCCGTTCTATTAATTGCAGCTTTTCCGCGATCTTATTAAAAATTTAGAAAAAATTTTACTAAATTTGAATTAGTATATATAATGTATTAAATATATAATATTATATATATATATATATATTATATATGCATGTATGTAATAACAATTGTACAACTATTATACATTCATATTACATAATACAATATACATATTATAATATATATAAAATATCAAATATAAATTTAAAAATTTGCACTTTGATATACCTGCGAAGTTACGAAAACATATGTTGGTGGCAGAATTATTGCTGCATTTTCATCCATTAATTTTCATTCATAATACGCAATGAATATTCAAAATTAAAAGTAAGGCAGATACGTACATCAAATGAGATAAAATTCATAAATACTATTTGATGTTTACAAGCAAATATTTAAGCAAGTTAGGTCAATTTTAGTTTGGGCTTGATTCCATTTTCTTCACTTGATCGGTGTTTCTCTAAACGTCCAAGTACAAGTGCAACTACTCAAGAGTTTCTTATCGATGATAGCGCGTGCACTGATCGTGATATATCGCGGATGCAAAGAAAACGTAGGAAAGAGAAAGATAGAATCAGCAGGAAAGACACTGAGAGAAGGACCTGAAAAACCTCGATATAGCATGCGTAATGTCGTAAGACAATAACGATCGAGATGATTCACGGGACGTGATAAAGACGGCGTGAGTACCGTAATTGCGTCTTGCACTTTGGCCCAGCTCGCTATTCAGCACGTGGATGACGCGCAACTGTTTACTCCGTTTTCGTTAAATATGCTCTCGATTCATATTTTGATGAATTTACATACGTATATTAAAGAAATACGAAAAATATAAAAGAAGTATAATTGTATTAGATTTATACGCGAGAGATATTAAAGATAGAAAATAATAAATAGTATGATTAGAAAATAAAGAAATATATTATAATAAAACTAATAAGAAGTGATATGATTTCGTATAAAAATAGTTTATTGCAAGCAATTTATTTGTAAAATATCGTTTTATACGATGCTCCAAAACATTCTTTATATAAAACCATATAAAAATGAAAGAACCAATTATTTTTTTACATAAGTCGAAGTGATTAATATATTTTGTATTCATAAATTCTTTTTCACTATATCGTTTATATTCTTTTTTGTTTCGCAACCGCAAAAAATCGCCTTCGAAGAAGGGATATGCCACCGCTTATGCGATTGCGATGAGACAGCCAGCGAGCCGGCGGAGACGCGAAAAAAATATCTGCACCAGTGGATAGATATCTCGGCGGTCTTATGCTAATGCATCTTATTGCGTAATGACAAGCGGCGATCGATAAGTGGCGATTTATTAGCCGCGAGACGTGTCCGGCGACACGCAGATGTTCGCCACGCTGATTCTGCTCTATCTTATTTTACGTCGTCATCTCTCTCTCTCTCTCTCTCTCTCTTTCTCTCTCCCCCCCCCTCTTCCTTATCCTTATCTCGCCTTGTCGTTCCCGGATCTTTTCCCTGCAGCTTCCCTCGTATGTCCATCGCACAAAAGATTAGGCGTAGTGCGTGCCACTTGCGCACGCATATTCCGAGACGCACATGTGCACCGCGCAGCACTATCACGGCACGTGCTCATGCGATTATCTATTACTAAAGTTGATATTACCGATAGGTTGGATTTTCGCTGAGAAATCGTCACGAGGTTCGAAGAAACGTTTTGCCTTGCGGCAGACGTGACTCACCTGCGCGATAATGCTCGGAATAGTCAAATACGCGTAATCGGATACGTCTGATACTGGCGACAATGCCACTGGAACCGAAATCTTGTATCGTTACGAAGTTGTGCGAAGAGTGAGGACTTAATTAAAACTCCTGATGATTTTATGGAGATCAGGAAACTAATTTGCTATTTATTCGTTATTGTGTTAAAATTAATGTAATATTATATTTATTATTATTAATCGTTATTAATTATTGTTCAGCATTATTAATCGATCATGATCATCGATTGAGATAGAACATCTTGAATTGTCAGATGAGGTTTATAATATTAGGCTATAAATTACGCTGTTTTTCGGCAAAATTTGAACTCTTTTCGAAAGTCATTTCCGATTTTTTTTAAACAATTTGAAAGTAGGTTTTTTCCAATGTAATCTACACAGAAAAGCCGGTTTTGCTGAAGTATATAAAAATTTAGCTAAATACAGATCTGAAAATAATTTTGCTGTATCATCAAAATAATTATGTAGAATGTTCAAACTGATTACTAGAATGCCAAAACTTCTTTATTAAACAACATTATTTATTATGTTTGAAATTCCTACGTAATTATTTTAATAGTCCAATAAAATTTTTTTCAGATCAGTTAAATTTTTAGTTCAGCAAAATTGTTCTTTCCGTACACAGGAAAAAACTTTTTCCATGCATCTCAATACTATATACAATATATTATGTGGAAAATAAATACTTTTGTACTTTCATAATATAATCGAATCATACTAAATCAAAAAACAATATAAAATTTACAAAGTGCGATACAGAAAGATTATAATCTTCAATGATTCAAGATTATATAATCATTGTGTCATATTATATATCTTGTCTCTTCATTTCAATTCTGTCCTAACAGCCAAATTTGAACAACAGATTCGTGTTCAGCAGGCGAAAATACATCGGAAATGATTCACACTCATATTATAAAATAATGCAGAACAGTTTAATTTTTGCGATAGAAAGTGGCATTAATTTCACAGTTTAATAAGAATTTTTCTTTCTATTTCTCGATTTTAACGTGGAAGTTACCTCTACCTTTATATCAAAGTCCGAGTGAAGCACGTGCTAATGCACTGAATCGCACGCATTCGCCAAGTGACAAGTTGAGAGAAATTGATGCCTTACCGTTCCACGTATTGTAATGCATCGTGATGGATAAGACGCGGACGCGATTAGGTTGCATCGCATATACTATACGCTACGCCACGTGAAAAAGATAAAGGCGCAACGCGACGTTGCGTGTTATCGGCTTCGACGCGTCTTCTCTGCGTGGAATACGCGCGTCACGTAAAAATTTTCCGTTCCACCGAGGCTATCGTCTGCGGGAGAGAAAGAGAGAAGAAAAAAAAGAAACGAAAACAGAACGACCATCGCCGTTAACGAAATGTATTTTTTGTCGCAGGTACGAGCGTACACGAAATTAATTCATCGCAACGCGCGATCCCGAGAACGTCGTATTATCAGTGTATCAGACAGCCAATCGGCCGCGCAATCGATGGTAACAGCTTTTAATTGACCCTCCTCGCCGCTTCGCTGCGCGCAGCAAAATGCAGCACGACAACACGACGGTGAGCACATTATATATCGATTCGCACATCGCCTTCATTAACTCCGCGGTTCTGTTTCTATCGAGGGTCTCTATAGCTACGCCCCGATCTTATGTATCAATAATAACGAGAGCATCTTCTTGTCTATGTTTAATTGGCGACTCCACGCAGAGATGCAGAAGAAAGAATATCTGCTAGCGGAATTAAGAATGTCCCGGGTATATAGTCTCTGCAAAAACTGACTTAGAAATTTATATTTTCTGTATAAAAATGAATGTTATATGAAACAAGATTCAATAGGATCGATATTTATGTTTAACAATTCAATTTTATAGTTTAAATAGAAATTTTTACATTTTATCTTAATAATGCATCAATTTTTAGAATAACATAAAATCTAAATATTTAAAAAATTATGAGTACTGTTTTATTTAAGAATATCTCGTTTCTTTATTTATTAAAGATATATCAGAGGAGTGTACATATAGTCTCTGCAAAACATGATCAGAATTGGAAATACTGAATGACTTGAACTTTCTACTTAAAAATGAACATTATATGAAACAGTTCAACAAGATCAATATTCATATTTAACAATATAATTTTATAGTTGAAATGAAAATTTTCTTATTTTAACTTAATTACTTTTTAACACGTGTCTACTTTTCATTGAAATAATTTTTATCCACGTTCTAAATCTCCTCGCCAAATTTTTTGTATTACTTTCACACAATGTAGAAAAATCTGTAATTTTTCATAATTTTTTTATTTTGTTAAAAAATAATACATCCTTAAAACTGATCTTCGAAAAATCATAAGAACTCGAGAACTTTTCTGCATATTAATCACGTTACGACTAAATCAGCGATCCTTTCGTCGATCGCAGCAATCGACGCAGCGATATCACGTGTCGATTAACTCGCTAAATGTGTTAATTCGCGATAGACAGTTGGCAAATTTATAGATGTATCTGTGTCTGCACGTGCCGTTCGCCCGAATTTGCGCACATTTCATCGTGGGGATTATTAATTATCAACGGCCGCGCGCCAGCCGCATTATATTTATCGTGCGTGCAACGTCCACTTAAATACTGATTAACTAATTTCGCGACGTTGCGCGACATGACGCGCGAATGCTAAAGGTAAACGAACGGCCGCAAAAACGGCAGAGCCGTTTTCGCTCGCTCGCTCGCTCGCTCGCGATTTGCCAATCGCGCGTCGCGCGTGGAATTATCAGCTGGTTCCCGTTTTAATTGAACCGAGTCAGGTATTATCGTAGTCCTCTGCTCTCAGTAATTGCTTCATTCCCCGTCGAAATTACAACAGTTGTGCATTTAACCTATTTGCGATGTCATTAGTCTATCAATTATGGAGAGAATATGTTGGGCAACTACCCGCGCATGTCGCCTGCTGTATCAAAAGCTTTATGCGAGAGGATGTGTAACTCTTCTCGCGTGGATACCATCTTTTCATTGCATTGCGTCCGTTATCATGTAGACGCGTTCCGCCGAGTTCATAGTAGATCGAACATTTACATTGAGCGATTCTTCGTACGTTTAGAATTATTTAATGCCAAAATAACCGAAAACGAGTAATTAAAAGGAATCGTTACTTTATACATAAAAAAAAAAGAATGACCTTTAACTATGCTATAGTATACAGTTGAAAAATTTGTGTTAAAATTTAACTACATTTCGCAAATTGATTCACTCAAAATTTCGTGTTAAATGGACACAAAATTTGAATATGTGTATTAGGAAATAACCGCAATTTACCGATTATGTAAAAAAATTAGTAAAAGAATAACACTGATACAATTTATAAGCAAATTTCCGCAGAAAATAAGCAGATTTAAAATAAGCGAATTTCCTCGATTGCGACCAGTCTGAATAAAATTAGCGTAGTCCGAGATCTCGAGTTTGTGAAATGTATCATTTCATGGATTCCACACGCAAATATGCAACGGTTGTCTTTCAAGGAACATTCACGTATGTTTATACACAATATTATTACAATTAATTATTAAAATTAGTAATATAAGAGAACGTATACATGTACAATAATTATTGACGCATATGAGACAGACAGACAAACAAACGGAGAGAGAGAGAGAGAGAGAGATATGAATACACGTTGACACTTAAGCAATGAAATACATTTATTGTTGTACATTTATTTATTTATTAATTGTATACATTATATTCACAAATAATTTAAAAGTTGAAACATGTAAGTGTTAAGGCTTAATTTTTTTAAGACCCGTTTTTTTCTGCGCTGGAGCTAAGAATCTTATAAGAATCTTATTCTCCAAAGCAAAATATGACTCAAATCAGCTGATCCTAAAAGAATCAAAGGTCAAAGTCGATAAGATTTTCATTCTCAATCCTTTACAGCAAACCAAACGGCTCAACTTTTTTGAATTCTTTTTCGCTGCACTTCGTTGTATCCATAGGTTTATTTTAACACTACTAAGAAATGTTGAGTATCGATTCAACACCAAAATATTCAAATGACACAATTACATTATTATGTTGAATTAACATTCAGGTGTGTTAACTTCAACGCAAAAATTTTAACAAGAACCAGTTTTTACAGAAACACAAAATGTTCTCTCTGTGTTTTTAATTTCCAATATAATCATATCCTTATCTAAAAGAAAATAATAAATTACACGACCGTGATGCATCCGTTCAGCTGACGAATAGACGAGCCTTATCGTCTTATCGAATGCGCATTATCGATGTTCCCTTATCCGCAAATCGGGTTATGACGATTACCCAATCGACATAGCGTCTTAATAAGCCTGACAGCATGGCAGGCGAATCGTGATTCACTACTGACTCACTGTGACACACGCAGTCGGTGCAAAGTGCCAAGTGTACTTTGTCAAGTGCTAAAATCGACAGCGCCGCACGTGCCGTCGATCGCATGTCGCACACGGCATTGCCGTTAATCAATTAAATCGTTGGGATAATTAATCCGCGTGCTCACGTGGGAAAATAACGTCGCATCTTCGACATGAGCCGCGTTGGATCGCGCATCACCGCGATGATTTTAATTTGAATTATTCCATTTAAAATCTCACTGCACAAAAAATATTTTCGAGAGAAAAGTGGAATTAATTAAAAAGACATTTTCGTCATTTCAATCAGCCATGACGATAACTGCTCGAAAACATTGACTATATTATTTCTTGAATCAGGACATTATTGGGCGAATAGTTCTCATTATATTAACCTACAAATATATCAGGATAAATGGGATGGCCAGCATCTCAGTTTTTTTCTAATCTTGTTTTGAAATAGGAAATTAAAATATATTGTCCAGAAGTTCTTTAGTTAGAAGTCTTTAAGTTTATTATTTTTACATTTCTTTATACCATAAATTTAATTATATAAAAGATGTAAATTTAAATTAATAAACACTAGTAAAAAATCATAACTATGAAGTGAAAAAATTTTGAGATGTTTTAAGCATCCCACCTACCAACTTGCGTATCTTTAAACCGCCCATCTACTCAATTATCATCATTCATAGGCAATTTCTAATAATCGCCACAAAAAGCATGATCAACGGACTGGATCTCAACAGACTGGAGTAATACTTGTCTCGTTACGTGTAATTCTGCTTTTCGCTCGTTCGAACGCAGCTTGCATCTTTTATGCCGGAGCGTTTTGTGATATTTCCGAGAGGATATTGATTCTCGATTGTGCGGCACGTCATTTCAACGAAAAACGACGGCGTACAACGTAATTTGAGCGCCACGCGAACGACTCTGTACGAGAGAAAGAGAACTGCTGCCTTCCCCAGGGAACTAATGCGCACGCGGCCGATGATGTACTCGACAATCATAATTTACTGCACGGCCCGCAGCATGGATAATGGGTAACATACGTCCGTTTCTTGCGGCTAATAAAACGAAGGACGGCGCTTCCGTTCTCCACGCTGCCGCGCCGCGAGAAAGCCCGCGCTCTTCGACATCTCCTGGCGCACTTCACCTTCTACGATGCGAACAGCAGTATCCTTGCCGCCCTGTTCCTCATAAACTCGCCGACACAACACACGGAATAAGCGGCAGAGAAGCGGCAAGGATGAGAATAAGAAGCAGAGAGAGAGAGAGAGAGAGAGAGAGAGAGAGAGAGAGAAAGGAGGCGATCCCGAAGCGGAAATAATGATCACCGAATCTCCGCCTTTTAGTCGTTAAATCTCCGATCGGTCCGATCGTCTGTTTAACCTTTAACGGTAAAGGCCTCCTTTTTTGCGTAAAATTGCGTTTCTCGCAATCATTCGCCCATTCCGTTTTCATTCTCCGTCGCCGGACACGTAATTAAATTTATTAAATTACGTTGACTCGCGCGACACGTTTATTCTGCGTCATATGGCTTAAAATGCTTCGCAAGCGAAAAAATAGACAGCGAATTACAATTGTTGACGTAGCCGTCCTTTACCTTATCTCCCCTCCGTTCGTGACTAATGCTGATAATCTTTTTTTTTTTTTCTTTGCAATTTTATAGTTCTCACAAACAATCAGACAGCGTGTACGTGTTACGTGTCTGAAATCGTAGCGACAAATGCACAATTAAAAAAATATATATATCAGTTTAGTATCGAAAACGTGTATGTTTATCCTTCGCTAATCTCTTAAAACAGCACTAATAACACGTTCGCTACGCATACGTGCGACATTCAGATTCGCATGAGAGATTCACGTGACAGGACGATAATTTTCTGCAATAAATTTTTCAGTACGTAATTATAACTGTGTGTTATGTCAGGGGAGAACTGCTTTAAATATATCGCGGTTTATGCGGTTAATAAGTTATCCGAACATAAATGGATGAGCAATGTTTTCCGAAAAGAATCAAAGAATTACCTCGATAGGATAATATCTGTCGTTTATATTATTTCTAGGCATAGATGCGTCGAAAGAAAAACTCGATCGAAAATTACAAGTGTCGCGCCGCCGTCTCCGGGAAGTAGAGTCGAGGCTAAAGTTATACAGAACGTCAATCAGAGCGAATA